TGGTTTGCCATAATTCTTTGTATCTCTGCACACTTGAAAACCTGTGGGCTGATGACTTTGTGGGAGTTTTGGTGGTGATGGAGCTGCGGAGATCAACTTCATTTTATAGATGCAGAAACTGAGCCCCAGAGAGATGAAGAAATTTGCCCAAGATCCTTAGCAAGTTTCAGCACAATGCTTAAAATTGGTGCAAGTTTGGCTTTTCCATTAAGGCGTACTCGGGTTTGGGGGCGGTCATGAGGGTGCTGGGTTCTGTCGTGGTTAATGGATTGAAGTGGACTGACTGGGGAGTGAAAGAAAAAGAGATGAAGATAGAACAAGGAAACAGGGTTTTTCTGGATTGTTTTAAAGAGGTCTCCTTTGGTCAGGAAGCATGAATATTCTTTCTCTGATATAAGAGAAAAGGAAGAGATTAAAAGCATGATGAAGCTCAGATATTTTTAAATAGTTTATTCTTTTGAAACTATGGAACAATTACTACTGATTCATCATCAGGTAATTCAAGGTAATGACATCTGGACAATTTCTGGTTCTACCTTCTTGCCTCCTTTGGTCCTTGTTACCTTTTGTTTTGCTAAAAGAAAAAGCAAGTGAAACACTTTCCAGATCTGATAACTAAAGAGATCTCTAGTGAAACCTCTGGCTCCCATCCCAAGTTAAGGTCACACAGTCTGATACTGAGTTTATGTCTCTGTGTAAACCAAAATGCAAGGTATGTGGTCATGATTCCTTTTAATCATTTATCAGGTGTTGCTCTTTGGTCAGTTGTATACTTTGTATAATCATCCAGAAGCATAGCCCACCCGTGGGCATGTGTATGTTTTTTTCCAATACATAGTTTCAAATTCATTTGGAAAACATGACTTTTAGTTGTAACTGGTATTATGGCTCCGGCCTTATCTCTGCTCACTCATACTCTTAAATTCACACTTGTCTGGGCAAGTCTGGAGGTCTGGTGTTCTGGTTTCTTGGAGTCACTTTTCATTGTTTGAGGAACCTCTGGGACAAACCTTGTTCTATGGAAAGTCTTAGTTGAATTGCACAAGAGGTAGCCAAAGGACAAGCAGCCATTGCTAGGGTCCCTCATACACTCTTGTTATATGTTAACTATATATTTGAAAATAATGTTCATGATAACAGCTAATGGTGATTGAGTGCTTACTGTGTGCCAAGCACTATTCTGAGTGCTTTACTCTTCTTCACAGTAACCCTTTGAAGTTTGTGCTATTATCTTATTTGTCAGGCAAGGGAATAAGGAACAGAAGTGAACAAAGAAGAGACATGTACATTCTCAAGGAGTTTATGGCGGAGTTGTAGAATTAATATTTCACTTGTTCATTCAGTAAGTTGAATGACTGCTATATATAAGCCGAGTTATGAAAATTTATGTACCTCCTATGATTGTCCAAATGAGCTTGCAACAGAACGGGGAAGTGTTTATGTAAACCAAACTTCAAAATGTGTTAATAGTGGGGATGAGGATTCCAAAGAGAGCATGCTGACACAGTGTCTTAGATTACTTTCCAGTTGAACTCCTTCTGGAATCATGTTGGAAACCTAGGGAGATTTGACTGTGTTACAAGTGAAAGCAGAAACTCAGGAGAACTGATTCACCAAAATCCACGTGCCACGTTATGTGATGTGACACCGTAACTGTTAGGAATGGGGTTGGCAGCAGCAACACTAAGTGGCTTGGGCAGCGTGGGGACTGACATAGTTGGCATTTCAACAGCTAAATTTGTACCTTGGGCATTAGCACCTGTGACATTGGTGTTCATTGGCAGGTCACTGGATGGGACCGAACAGGAGAGAGGAGGAAAGTGGCAGGGGCTTTGTGGAGAAGATAGTGTTCATGAGCTTATCAGTCAGTCATTTCCTGAAGAGTCCAAGCCGTTTGCTCAGGATGGTGAGGATGCGTGGATAGGAGGGAAGAGTATTGGCAATCGCAGAGAAAGGAAACACCTAATTACAAATATGTACTTTGGTTTGGGGTGTGCTTTGGGGACGTAAAATCCATAGAGTGCTATTTAGCAGGTGTTTGTTCTGGGCTCATCGCTGTGCCTCCATTTTCTTTGTGA